GGGATTAAAAAGGGGCTGGGGTGAGGCTGAGTTATCATGGCGGCAGCCAGGCACAGTGTGGAATGAGGTACATGGCTGGTTTCTTACCAGGGCCCAGATCCCAGGCAGCCGGCCCACCCTCCCATCAGGAACAGTGAACAAGGAGCTGGTAAAATACACAGAGAATGAAAATGACCCCTATTGACTGAAACCAGCTGTGTCCGGCTTCTCGCTGTCTCTCCTGATTTGCTCTCTCAAATAAATGGATATGGTAGAGGACGATAGAAAGTAAACAGAATCATTTTTTTCTTTCTTGCAGTCACACCTCAGTAATAGCCCTGGTTTTCATAGCTGAAAAATATATGTTTATTTGCTCATTAATTTCCCTCTCTCTCCCTTGCCTTTTCTTGGCGTTGGGTAGAATGTTATTTAAAACAAGACACAGTTCAGCTTCAAAAAGAAAAATCAGTCTGCAAAATACAGCTTGGACTCATTTACCGTTCCTTTATCTTCTTTCTAAGAGAGTAGGGTACAAATACCTAAATTCGGTATATTTTAATGATTTACAGCGCAGTGACTCTTGCTGGCACCAGGGTACAGGGAAGCAGCAGGCTCTTTAGGACCTTGAGAAGTGCCCCGAACTGTTTAAAAAGGACATGGAGAATATTCAATGTAGCATATGCAGAGCAGCTCAATTCTCATTTCTCTTCACCAGTTTCCTTCAAAGATGATGCAGGCTGGTGTTTGGAGGGTGGACTGAGCCCAAAGTCCTCAGATTCTTTAAGGGGTGCTTGACAGTCTTCATTTGAACACTTAAGTATGTATTTTTTTTCCTCCTTTGCTTTGAAAAAGCTTTGGTTTTATATGTCTCCCATTTCCTTCATGTAGTGGGCAAACAAATAATGATATGCCTAACTCAATGCCCAGTAAATATTTGTTGAGTGAATAGTTAAATGGAATGTAATAAGCCTGACTAGGATTATTGTCTTGGCGTGAAACATGCAAGAATAGACTTGAGACAATCGAGTAATTTCCCTTAACAGTACAAGCTAATTATTTGAGAGATGAAGATCTGGTACATAGTATTTATTTGTCAGGTTCCTTTTGCTCCTAATTAAAGGCGGAAAAGTTGTTGCATTGAAAGGATGACATAGTGACCCACTCCTAAACATCTTTTCAATTTTCCACGCCACTTCTTCAGGGAAAATATATCTAGATGAGGTTCATGTGCATTCCTTTTGTTTATTTATGTTTTCTCTGTGTTATCGTGTTTTAGAGGGTAGGCAGGGTGTGGAGTGGGGAGCTCTTTGACAGTGGACTTTTACAGCCCAGCCACAACTTCTGTAGTTGACTGTGCTTAGCTTAGTTGACTAATACAATCATCCCCCCGTAGGGATACCACCTGCAATGATCAAAGATGAAAATGCGCACGCTCATCCTATGCCTCAGAAAATTTTGCATGTATGCCAAAAAAATGCATTCAGAGCCTAATGCATCAGGGTCTGTGCTACAGCTGTGAACTGAACGCCAAGCAAACCCCACTCTGGTTCCTGCCCTCATGAAGCTTACAGTCTGGGATGATTGATGGATGTTAATTGAAAAATCACTCTAAAAATCATAACTACCACTTGAATTTTCAAAAGAGGAATATGGCTCTCCTGGGACCACGTAGCAACAGGGACTAATTTACACCAGGAGACCAGGGAGAATTTTACTATGGAGGAGCCTGAAGCCAAGGGCCCGAGAAGGTCTGAAGAAAAGGGAAAGGGCATTGCAGGCAAGAAGACTCTCAAATGCCAAGGCCTGTGTGGCCTGCGAGGGAAGAGCAAGAGCCACACACTACAGTGCCTATGCATAGGCCACATCCTAAGCTTTGACCTTCATCCCATTGGCATTAGAAAGATGTAGAAGGGTCATATATCCAAAGGTTAAAAAGTGGGGGCAGGGAGAAGGGGTCTTATTAGATCTGTGTTTGGGAGGGGATATAAATATATCCACTCATTCTTCACCAATACAACAAGGGAGGTGATCATGCTAAGCCCTAGATTATCCTTCGCTGCATTTGAGATTCCTGGGAATTCTTACCATCCATCCTTCCCTCTGCCAAGTTTCAGCGAGACTGTATCTGGCTCTCCAGTTGTGTGCCAAGAAGCACGCATACAGCCTACTGCTAGACCGTGCAGCAAAGGAATCTCGCCTTGCCCACTCTTCTAGCCCTTCCTCTTATGTCTGCCTTTCCTTTTGATGATGTGAAGGTGGCGTAACACAGTTTATTCCTGTTCTTGGCAAAGTATCTGTGGCATGCCTTCCGGCACCTTCTCTCCTCGCCAGTGGTGTGAACTTGGCACAGGGCTCAGCCTCTCTTTTAGCCTTGCAGAGTTGTTCTGAGGATTAGGTGAGTTAATACTTGTAAGAGATGGAATGAGGAGTGGCACGTAGTGAGTGCTCAGTTAATGCCAGCCATTGTTATTAGCCTTTGCTGATGTAGATAGGTGTCAAAGGTATATCATTAAGGTGAAAAAACACAAGATACAGAAAAACATATCATAAGAGGAGCCTGCACAAGTGCATTCTCATAAATGCTAAGGAAATGTCTGAGGATATACAGTGGTTACATTCAAGTAATGGGACTGGGGCTTAGAGAGAGAAAAGTAAGCAGGTGACTTTATTTTTTTACCTTGTATTTTTGTAATGGTTGTTTTGTTTTTTTTTTTTACTGTATAGCTGTATACTTCTCCTAATAATATAATTACAAGGAATAGTTTAGAAAGTCCACTAATATTACTAATATGCCAATTTTAAAAAAGATGATTGCATTATAATCTTTTTTTTTATAATTTAATTCACTGTTAAATTTGGAGCTATCATTTAGAAACTTTTCAGGGGGGCTGTGTATGTGTGTCTATCTGAAGAGTTATACATCTGAAATGTTTCAGATATATAACTTTTTTAGATATATGAAACTTTTCAGATATATACATAGATATATATCTGAAATCCAGCAATCCATTTGTTTTTCACTTCTGTTTCTTATGTTACATTCAACCAAAGCTTTTAAAATCACGTGCTATTATGATCCCGCTGTTAGGAAATGATTCCCCTTGGTTTCCCATCTCTGCATGTGCCTACAGAGAGTTGTCAGGAATGCTGTTCTCCCACCAAATATAAACAAGGTATTTGGTTCACTTGTTGCTGACTTCATTGTACTTTTAAGCATTGCTTAAATGTTTTATAATGAGCATTTTAATAAAAACAATGAAATCATTTCTAAAAATTGGAGGTGAGGAATATCAGTTCACTTAGTTCATTAGTAGTAAACACAGTATCTAGCATCCAATCTTTCATAGCAATTCAGGAAACAACTTTTCAGGATTATCATGATGAAGGTCAATAGCTATTGCTTATGAGAAGGAGGCAAATGGACTTAGTGGTTACTGAATTAGGATGTAGGAAGTGTTTTCGATAATTATCTATTCTAACATATAGGCCTACCAAGCCTCATCTCCCCTGCCTTTTTTTTTTTTTTTTCTTTTACAAGAGGAGGATCTTTTTGTTTAGCTAAAGATTTTGATGACTAGAGTTGGTATTTATCAATAGTTTACTCTGACCGGTTGAGAATCATCAATTTTGTACAGGGCTGGAGCAAGGTTGTTGCTTTGGTCATTTAAATACAACTTTCCTGTTCACAGTGATTACACACCGCTGTCATCAGTCAGATAAGAACACAAATCAGGAGAGAACATTAGCTCCCTAGCAAATACTTCATGAAGCCAATGTGAGCTTGCCAGCTCGACTGTCATCTCTGCAGAAGACACACATCCAAGGAGGAGCTGTATTGTACATTACTTAGGCCATGGGGCCCCTTGGGATATGGTGATAAATGTCTGTGTACAAGAAAAAACAATCTTGAAGAAACTGTGATTAAGCTAATTACCAACTGATTTTTTAAAATCAGGACCAGGAAATGGTGGGTCATGGCCCATGACCAAATTTGCACAGCCCAGGAGCGAACAATGGTTTCTGCATTTTAAAATGATTATTAAAAATCAAGGGTAGAATAGCATTTCAGGCCATGAGAAAATTCTTTGAAATTCAAATTTCCTGTCCCCCAGAAAAGTTGTATTGGAACCCAGCATGATCATTCATTCACATATCATCTGCAGGCGCGTTGTGCTCCAAATGCGAGCCGAGTCATCGTGACAGGAGACCTAAAGGCACACAATGAAGAAAATACGTACTTACTGGCTCTTTTTAGAAAAAGTTAGCAGCCCTCTCCTTACTTGTATGTATGTCTGATTGCTTGGTAGTAGATAATGCTTTTGTGTTAGAAGAAGGCCTGTTCATGCGGCCATCAGAGAAGCTGTATTCCTCTCCTCTGCTCACTTCCTTCCCAAAGTCAGAAAAAAGTTATTGTGTGAGAAAAATTAGATTATCAGGAGGGACTATGCACTCCGTCGTGGTAGCAAATGGAAAGGACCTACATATTGCCTCCAAAAGTTATGGATTATAATCTACTTGGAAGCCCTTAAGTAACATTAGTAGTTCCTATATTTCAAAATTTGTCATTACGAACTCTTAGTGTCTGAGAAATCTTTTTCAAGGCAAAAACTTTTCATTCTTATGATTTTTACAAAACACAGAGCCAGACCAGATGGGCCATTTGCTCAGCAGTGTTATCATGTTGAATGGTTTTAACTTGTATTTGGCTGTCAATGGGATATGATAAACTATTGGACAATAGGAAATACCTTTTGGTAGAATATCTAAATCTCGATTGGGTTCCTGCTCATTTGCTGTGACTATTAAACTAGTGAACATTTATGGCTCGCATTGACCCTCATACCTACCATAGTATATATGGAAACATGAAATTACTATAAAAGTCATACTGCTACCAGCAAAACAACATTAACACTAGCCCCATAAAATACTACAGACCTGGATATATAAGTCATTTTGATTCAGGCTCCCCATCGCGCACATGACTGACCTCAGCTGTCCCTCTTCTTTTGTTGTTTCAGAGGTTGAAGGCTGCGTTGACTCACCACCCTGCTGCCATGTCAAACGGGAACATGAACACCATGGGACACATGATGGAAATGATGGGCTCCCGGCAGGACCAGACGCCGCACCATCACATGCACTCACACCCACATCAGCACCAGACACTGCCAGCCCATCACCCCTACCCGCACCAGCACCAGCACCCAGCGCACCATCCCCATCCTCAGCCCCATCACCAGCAGAACCACCCGCATCATCACTCCCACCTCCATGCACACCCGGCACATCACCAGACCTCGCCCCACCCACCCCTGCACTCCGGCAACCAAGCACAGGTAGGCCGTTTTTGTGATCTCTTTCCCCTTCCTGTTCACGGTGCAAGCTCTAACGGGGGTGCGGGGCTCGTGGGAGCATTCTAGCCTGACCAGCCCAGGTGTTCTATCTGACACCCTGGGGAGCTCCGTTCATTTCCTAGGAGGTAACGGTTACCCATAAGATCCTACCTGATCATAGTTTCCACAAGTAATGCAGTCAATTTCAGGTCTAGGCTTCAGGGACAAATGTGAACTTCAAGTCCTCCAAAATCTATTTTTGCAGTGTGTTATCTAAGAAAGTATTATCGATGTGAGGAGGAGGGAGAATTTAAGCATGTGCAGAAAGATGTGAATAAAGAATGAGAAAAACAGGTTGAAGCTGCAGCGCTTCGTAACATCACGGAGACTCAATTTTGTCTCCCGTGAAATGGAAGTTACATGCAATGGGCGATATCCTAAGTAACGTTAAATGTTTAGAATCTAAAGAATAACAATTCCCGGCAGACAAAGAGGCTGGGTCGTGGATGTCAGGGCATAAGGTGCTGTGTAAATGGTGAAGAGCGGTGACTCATCCCACCCAATGTGAAACGCGTTGGAGGGAGCAGAGAGAGAGCCAAGCTCTGTAGATCATCAGTTCAAGAGAAAGGCCAAATCCCAGGGGTGGGGAGTCACCAGGAGTGGCTAGAAAGAAAGCCAGCATTTAGACTCAACTGAAAGAGGGTTGGGGGACCGGCAGACGTTATGTCACTCAGCCCAAGAAGAGAGGCGGGTCCGTGTACCGGAGTGAGCTTTAGTAAGTGGATGAAGGGCATGTTTGGGAGTATGGCTAGCCCTGGACACTTTGGATCTTCAAGCAGGATGACCTTCGGCAGCCTCCCTCCACCCATTCCACACTGCCAGCTTCCAACCAGCTGGGGCAGAATGGTGTCCGAAGCTAGGGACCACCAAATAACACTTATTCATCGTCTGCCTCTGGACCTCACACCAGGCAGCTTCTTGAACTGTTGAACCCCCTTCCCTAACACGCACCAAACCTGGACAGCCGGCCACAAAAAGATCATCCACAAGCAACTCTTATCAGAAAAGCTATTCAGCAGATAAGCTCATTTGCTAGATAAGCTTGCTTTTGCAAAGGTGCTTAGAGGTGTTCTAGATAGCAAATACCAGTGCAGGCTTTGGAGTGAGGAAACTTCCTCTCTTTTTCCATCTTCCTTCCTTCCAGCTACGTGACTAGTCATAGTAAGCTCCTAAGCCTCAGTCTTTCCATCTGCAAAACGGGGTAATAATAGACTAAGCTCAGAGACTCTTAGGAGCATTTAGTAAGCAAATGCCTATAAAGCACTCAGCACAATTTTCATTATACATTGGCTATGATTAATGCTAAACCCGGGGAATGCGATAGAAGTTTAGCAAGAGTGTAGCAATAAAATGCTATTCCAAATTCCTTTTTAGTCAAATGCCATAGTGGGACTTGTATTTAGAAAGGAGAAAGAAAACTACAAGGTCAAAGGTAGGCAAGTAGATTCACATGTGTACTCATTTTTTAAGGGGAAGGATAACATCAAGTTTTGGTTGCCTTGCTGTACAAGTTAATTCACAGACATGTTTAACAATTCTTTGAATATAAAAGCCATTCATTAACTAATTATCAGTTAGCCAATTGCTCTCTATTTCAAGTAAGCAGCCAATTGTATATGCAATTAGTTCATTGCTATTATAATTAGCTGCACAAACAGTTGATTTTTTTATCCTATACCAAAAATAAAAATTAAAAAGCCCGGGTTGAACTTGTTAAAATTGGAACAAGATCGTATTGAAAACGCCATTCCTAAACTGTAATAACTTGACTGATTACTGAGAGTTTGTCATACTGCTTAAATGTATGATTATCAGAATAGTAGGAACAGAAGTTCATTAAGGTCTTTCCAATGCTGAGATTTGAAGATGATTTGAAATAAGTTCTGTTTTTCAAAATCACAGCTCATCCTTTTTGGTCAAAATTTTCAGAGCATCTATACCAACAGAATTCCATTTTAAAAATAAAATGATAAGTAACAATAATTACCAGTACACACATTCTGGTCTTAAAGTTACATTTGCAATTTTTCCTGGCTTCTTGTAATTCTCTTGCATATAAGCATGTGATTTCAGAGCCCTGATCTCACTCCTTGGCCATGAGGAATTTCTCTTAATTATAGCGCACCTTGAACCCTGACCCGGACTGAATCTGAAACCGCTGTAAAACTTAGCCCTTTGGGTGAGGCACAGGAAAAGTGTAGAGGAGAAAGGTTGTTAAAGTTAGGGTTGGGAGAATATATTAGTGAAAAGAGACTCCTGCAATGGAGATTAAAACCCAGGTTTGCTTACTTGAGAGTCTTGTCTAGGGGCTGGCAAATCAAGATCACTGATTCACAAAATAAAATGACAAAAATAGACAAGTTAGCGAGTTCCTTCCTAATGCTTTGCTTTGCCATAGTAGTTAGCTCAGAAGTTAGCAACTGGAAGGACAAGGAGCTAAACCTTTTCCAGTAACAAGGATTACGTCTTTGTATCCATCCTCTGGGGTAAGACCTTAGACAACTTATTTTGTTATTCCTCTGTGATACAGAGGAAAGGAATCTCTGATAAAAAGTTTAGAAGATCTATTTGCTTTAAATAAAATTACTGAGAGGCAGTCCATCCTCAAACCTGAGCCTTAAGCTTTTACAGTTGTCATATAGAGTTTAGGATTAAAATGTATCTCCAGCAGTCAGCTGATGTCAACCGTTAGTGCAATTACAGTCATTCTGATTGATTTCAGTCACAGGGTTGGGATGTGGTAGAAAACGTTGGTAGACTTCATTTTAAAAACTTTTGGCCTGTTATTTCAGCAGGTTAAATGTTCCTTGAAAAACAACTGTATAGATATTACAGCTGTAAGCCTGAGTGACTGAGAAATGAGGTCAGGGATACCCTTTGTTGAGAATGAAGAAGGGGCAGGAGTGAAGAAAGCGTGAGGCGGCCAGCCACATAAACAGCATATGATATAAATGTCACTTGGTACAGGTCTGCTGCACGAAGGTGGGGGGACGGAGCTATATGCAGGGGTCTCCCACACCTTGGATGTTGCCGAACCCAATGCAGATCTTACCAGGAACCCATAAGCATAGTCAAACTTGTAATAAAGTGCTTTGCACCTCCTAGGATTCCCTCACAATGTAAGTAAGCAGGGAAGCACAGCGGTCCTCCCTGTCACACCGCGTGGCCTACAGCAAGGCTCAGCGCTGCTTCGGGCACTGAATGCCTCCTCCTACCGGCCCTGCTCCCCATTCACCTAGAAAGGCCTCCTCTAGCTCCCTCTGCCTTAGTGAAACCCTGCAATAGTGAAAACAGGATTTCAAATGCGTTTGGGCCTTCACTAGGTTCTTTTGATGGGTGTCACATGGGCAACGATATCCTAGAGATGTGTTCTAGGAACAGTTTTAACAGTCTTGGAATGACAGGAGCTCGCAACTTGCCCCGACAGAGCTTTCTGCTGATGGCAGAAGGCTCATCAATACTGTGACAATACCCCTGACCTTTTTAACATCTGAAGGAGGGAAAAAAATGTTTTCTCTGCTAGGATTCGGCCAATGTCCATAGGGAAAAATCAATTTGACTCTCTTTTCACAAGTCATGCCTATAGCTTGCCAAAATAGCATGGAACATAGCTCAGCAGATGCTTTTATTTTTTTCATGAGCTCACGTGATGTCATCGTTCACTTCATTCTTAGAAAACAAGTTTGAGGTACTTACTAAAGCAAATGACTTAAATTCACGGCTGGGCTTGCATTTCAACAACAGCTTGGGTGTCTTCCCTTACCCAACGTGTTCCTTCCCCAACCTGTCACCCTCCTTCTCATCCCCAGCAGGTTTCACCAGCCACGCAACAGATGCAGCCCACTCAGACAATACAGCCGCCCCAGCCCACTGGGGGGCGCCGGCGAAGGGTGGTGGATGAGGATCCAGATGAGAGGAGGCGGAAATTTCTGGAACGGAACCGGGCAGCCGCCACCCGCTGCAGACAGAAGAGGAAGGTCTGGGTGATGTCACTGGAAAAGAAAGCTGAAGAACTCACCCAGACAAACATGCAGCTTCAGGTGCAGGCCCTGTCTCTTTCCTCAGGACTCAAAGGCCCTGTGTACAGCTGGCATTTCCTGTCCCCGCGGGCGCTTGTTGACCTAAGGAGCAATGCCGCACATTAGCCCAGGCTCACTCCTCCGGCATTATTCATTGTGGGACACTCCATAAAACAAATTAAGCCACTCAGTTTTAGATCCATCTGCCTACCAAGCTCGGAGGAGGAAGAACCTGCCCAAATAAGTTACAGAGCTGGGGGTGCAGGCTTTGAAGGGTCACTCTCTCGTTCAGCAGTTACTTGCTGTGTTTACCCTCTCTGGCTCTCAGTTTCCTCATCTATAACATGGGAATAATAACCCCATAGACTTGTTGGGAGGAATAAACTAATGATACAAAGCAATGTGCCCAATGCCTGGCGCATAATACATTTTCAACTGAAAGGCAGTCCTTCAAATTCACTGTGTGAGGGGGTTGCTTCAGCTTACACGAGATTATCTATGTTTTTGTTTAATGAAGGAAAGGAAAGTTCATGTCTGTTACTTTGCTCTATACAAAGGGGTGTCCAGCCTGTGTAGCCCACGGGCCTCATGTGGCCCAGGATGGTATGAATGTGGCCCAACACAAAATTGTAAATTTACTTAAAATCTTTCTTTTGCTCATCAGTTTTCATTAGTGTCTGTATATTTAACGTGTGGCCCAAGACAACCCTTCTTCTTCCAGTGTGGCCCAGAGATGCCAAAAGGCTGGACAACCCTGCTAGGAAAAAGCATGTTTCTATCTCATGTTCAAACTTGAGATTTGAATTCTGCATGGTTCATGCTTTACATGGGTGGCTCTGTTGGGGACATTTTATAAAAGGCCACTTTGAGGAGTGTTTTGGGAGAAGGGGGGGAAACTCCAGGACCTGGGGCCTCTGCAGCAGACATCATGCTGTGGAAATGCTGCAGTTCAGGGCATTTGTTCTAACACAAAACGAGTGCACTCTTCACCGGCAGGGGGAAAAAGCACTAAATCCATATGCGATAAGCAGCCAGGGACGGAGCCATGCGTTACAGCCCAGTGCTCCCAGGAGCAGAGAGAGTGGCTGAAGAAGACGGAAGGGGAGAAAGATTGCCCCAAACAGGGACTAGCCGTTTCTCAGTAGTTCAAAGGTCACCTTCACCCGGTTCCCTGTGCATCCCTAGAAAGGACCAGTGAGGGTACCAAACCCAGTGCATGGGTGATTCATGGACTGAACATCTTAATTTATGGATGTTTACTTTTCCCTCGAAGTGTATCATTCTTTTTGTAATAGACATGAGAAAGAAACTGAGAAATATATATTGCTGATATGAGGGAAATAAGATAATAAATAATTCCTCCTACTAACTTATATGCTATATGAAGGTGCAGGCTGTACCTCATTACCTTCTCTTCCCACTACCTACCCCGTATTTCTACTACAGTGTCTAGTTAGCATGGTGAGTTCATGCACTCAGTATCTGTTGAATAAATGAATGAGCTCCCCGTCTCTGGAGTGTCCCAAGAACTGGCTGCCTGACCACCTGGCAAGAATGTGCTTGAAAGGAGTCAAGCCACAGTGGGATGGCTGGACTTAAACACCTCGAAAGTCAGTCCAACTTGAAAGTCTGTAATTCTAGAACCTGGCAGGCACACTAGTGTTTGAGGAGCTTTTAGGTAGAACATGGATAAACACTTTTAATATTCATGGGACCCATTTTTTTTTATTTTTATGTGTATTGAAAAATGTCATTAGGACATCAGACCTTCAATTTCACAAATCGTATTGGTAAGGATGAGGCTAAATCACTACAAAATGAGTTAATTTGAACAAACATGTTAAGTAAATAAAAGTGGACCGAGCAAATATTACAGCCATGGTTCTGTAGTGACGGGCGAGTGGGAATCCCTCGAATTTGTCACCAGTTCGGAGGTCTGCAAGAAGACCGTGGAAATGTGCAGGTTTTCTCAGTCTTAGCACTGTTGGCTTTTGGGTTCGATATCTTTTCGTGGTATCCCGCTCATTGCAGACATTTAGCCGTATCCTTGCTCTCTACCCACTAGGTATCAGTAGCACTCTCTACCCCACCCCCCATTTGTGACAACCAAAAAGTCTCCAGATATTGCCAAATGTCCTCTGTGGAGGCAAAAGCATCCCTGGTTGAAAACCACTTCCTTAGGTGAAGGAGCCAGCTGGCATGTATCAGATGCCAACAACTGTTTAAATCAGTTTCAACTAAAACGAGTCCTTGCAGAACGACTCCAGTGTATTGACTGCGGCCCTGGAGCATGAAAACATGGCGGGGTCACAGCAGGGAGCCAGGAAAAGTAAAGATGCTGGTTGGCCTTGAGGTCAGATGTGTCCATGGCTTGGCAATATGCATGTATATTATTGCTTTTACAAAGCAGATAGGAGACCCTAACATATGAATTTTTTGTTGTTGTTGCTTCTCGTTTGCTCCCCAGCCAAACTGGGGACCAAACCTGCAATCCAGGCATGTGCCCTGATTGGGAACCAAACTGGCGACCTTTCGCTTTGCGGGATGATGCCCAACCAACTGAGCCACCCAGTCAGGCCCTAATCTATGAATTTTTACATTTCCTTAAGGTTAGCATGACTAGCAAAAAGAAATGCTAGATTTCTTGCCCCTGAAAATCAGAAAAAAGTCCTATTAGAGCCATTCAACAGGCACCAATACCTTTGCTTGCTAAAGCAGGGCCCGAGGAAGGGACCATCTCTGAAAAGACTAAATTGTTGGTGTTTTCCAACCACTACTTTGCTTCAGAGGGACAGAAGCCACAGCGTCGCATGTTTTCTGTGATGGTGAGCGCTCTGCATCCCATGCCGTGATACTGGACAGGGTAGGGATTCTGCTACCTCTGAGTGACCCTTTCCCTCTCACTGGACCTTTGTCAGAAGAAAAAGGTGTCTCTCTTGACGCTGGATCACTGAGCCAAATTTTAAGTAAACAGAAATGGAAGGTGCTAAGCAAACAAACTCCAGCCAAATGGAATATCCAAGGTCTGGATGGCCAGCTGCCACTTTTGAGTTGTTTTCCAGCATAGAACCTTTCAGTTAGGTTGCAGAGTTTCAGATTGGAAAAATCAGACCTAAGAAAACAAAGTGAAACTCCCAGACTTCATTTCCTTGTCTCATAACACATCTCTGCCCAAGAGGCCAGCGTGGGTATAGGAATTGGGGGCGAGAGAAGAAACCTCCCAATCTGGCATTTTATATACGGAGAAATTAAGGCTCGCAGGATGTGAAGTGGCTGCCCGAAAGCCACACAACCAGCTAGTAGCAGGATGAGGATGCAAGCAAGTCTTCTCTTAACCTAACCCTCTTGCTCTGTGGCCTTTCATTCTAGAAAGCTCTTAAACTAAAAAGAATCCACATTCTTTTCTCTGACAAAGTAGCTAAGATCAGCTCTAAATTCATCAACCGCTGATGTGGGGCTCGGTGAGTGGATTGTTTGTGTTCGATAGATGATATGGAAATCATCTGGTCACCCACAGAAATAATTGCTTTTCTTTTTTAGTACAAAGACACATGGCCTAAGTCGCTGCTGAAATTTTAGACACATGAGCCCAGGTTTGGGACTTGGCAAGAGAAGAGGCCAGATGGGAACTGTTGCTTGACAAATTCAAAGTCCTTTGTTTTGCAATGAACCAAACCTGGCCTCTTGCTAATCTACAAAAAGAAGTGGGGGAGGGGCTATATCGCACCCCCCCCTTTTTTTGGCACAGACTGTTGTTTGCATCAAAAAGCATTCTGGGTTTATCATATTAACAAAATGACATCCCCCAAACCAAAAACTGCAAGTGTAGCTTTGAGGGACTTCGTGGAGTGCTTATTTAAAGTATGTTATTGTAGTATTGAATGTCTCTATACGGGACGCTACTTCAACCCAACGCAACCTTAGGGGTTTAAGAACAGATTAATCCAACCGCATCTCTTCTACCCTCTTACAGCCTCTATTTAAACAGCTAACTGTTTTAGTTAGTGGCAAACCCAAACCAGCTTAGAAAAATGAAGAGCTGCTTTCAGCAGGAGAATCCACACTGAGTATTACTACTTTGCTTTCTCAAAGTACTTTTATATGAGGACCTCCAACTATTATAACCTACACGGCGGGGGTGGGAGGGGGCAGTAAAAAAAATGGTGATTTGCCTCAATTCATAAAGCAAGGTAATTCAGAGTAAGAAAATGCCTCCAGAGGTCCTGGTTTTTATTTCCCTCATAGCGCTGCAGGCCACATTTGATGTCTTTCATGCGTTTTGAAGCATTTGCTATCTGGTTGTTCTCTTCCAAAATGAATTCAAGGTGATTCTACTTATGTTACCTTGAAAAGGATTTTTATTTAAAATACAGCCTGGTGTTTGTGCACTTCCTACATCAGCCAGTCTATCAGTATGGAATCTTCAGGGTGACAATGCATGTGCACAGCACACGGCTCCCTCTGCTTTCTCCAGGGCCGCCGTCCTTCACATTTCTTCACCCAGAGGCTCTGTTGTGGAGTCTGATGAAGGCTCTACACACTCTCAACAATATGGACACACACATGGACACCAAATTTTGCTCTAAACAAAACTATAAATGTTGCTTTGGAATCTGCCCTGATGAGATTTGGAAGCATAGGAGGTGCTAGAACTGGCTCCCTTAGAACACATGAGATTAAAAATATAAGCATATTTGAGAATACTAAAGGCAGTTCAGTAATGAAAAAAAGCAAGATCGAGCCCTTCATCAGATTATTAGGTAATTAACTTTGTCAATAGAAAGTGATACAGAAATACTAATAGAATAACAAACTATCTTGCTGGAACAGACTAGAGAATGAGTCCAACCATCTTGGTTTACACTTGGTTGGTGAGGCAACTTGGGAAGCCAATACCCTATTATTCTCAACCCTCAGTTCAGAGTTCCTTTTCTGCTAGAAACTTGCCCCATGAATTTCTGTTGCTTCTGTGGCCATTAGACTTTTATTTAGTGCTTATCGACATCATAGTTATGGGTGTATGAGCTTAACAAGAGACTGGGTGTTTCTCTCTACTGATAATAGTAATTGGCATTCAATTTCGAACCATAACACAGCTAAATAACATAATTACTAACACACTACATTAAGAAATACGTCCACAAGCACACGTATCTTTAAATGCTGACCAGTTGTCATGGTACTTTGCAGGTCCCCACGTTTTCACAGGCCCTCACACCTCCCAGGGCCTCAGTTCCTATACTTACAACATTTTGATTTATTGATAAAGTACTTTGCTATCCATAGGCAAAAATGCTACTCAAGTCACCTCTTCTCTATGGGCTTTGATTATAGGCCAGAACACCACATATGCTGTCATAGTGGTGGTTGGTCCTGTTTTACTCTGGCCGCTCATGGAATTTATTGTAAAATGGCTGGGGGTGTGCCAAGTATCGTGGGCAGTGAGCTCCTTGCAACTGCAGGAACCCAAAGAATGGAATTCCAAGTGTTTTCTTAAGGAAGGGGCAAAGAACACTCCGTGCCTGGGAGGCCGAACTCTGCCTGGTAAAGGTGACTGCCCAGGAGTTCAAGAACTGGAAACCAAAATCCACCTTCCTAAGACAGCCACAAAGTAGAATTTTTTTCTTTCTTTCTGAAGCCTAAGAAAGCAAGAGAATCCTGTTGTTTTGCTCGAAATACTTTCCTTATTTGTTGTTTCCTAGGTCACAGGAAAAAACAAAGTATGGCTGGACTCACTGAATATTGGAGCTTGACTCCTTTTTCTAAGCACTGCTATCTGTAGTATCTGCAGCTGAGAGTTTCTTCCTAGGGGGCAGGTGTCCAGCAGTTGTGGTTTCAGAAAGGCATCGCTTCTGTCGTCCAAATGCAAACAACATGACATTTGTTTTGCAACCAAACTCTGTATTCACACATCTAGTTTTCTTTTTCTCTTCTTTAGTTTTGTTTCTGTTTGTTTGTTTGGTTTTTAACCAGGAGTTGCCCTCTATAAATGGTCAACAAGTAACTTTCTTTACACATGCTATTTTAAGCAGAGGGGTAGCTGGGAAAATCAGAGAGGAAAGAATTAGTGTTTAAGGCTAAAATAAATTACCCTGTAAATAAAGTAGTCCCACTGACCCTGGAATTGACAAGGGTCACTTTTGGCTTTGACAGGGTCCCTTATCAATCACACTCGTTTGGAAGTAGGAGGTGCAATTCACCTTCCTAACTGTTCTCAGATTAAGAGCAATTTTTCTGTACAATTAAGTGATTTATTCATTAATAATGCTAATTTCTCAAATTTATTTTATAAAGTTTGGACATGAAAGAAAATAGCTCTGAAGATGAGATTTTTTTTTACTCTACTATTTATGTTACTCAACATTTGACTGATTCTGATGTACTTTGCAAATGAATGTGGAAATGGGAGCCATTGTTTAAAACAAGTTTCAAAAAAAATTTAATTAACTTCTAGAATCTCAAACTTACTTTTCTAGGTGATAAATACATGCCTGAAAAGCCAAGCTCATATTGCAAGTGTAGGTACAACTTAATGACAGCAATGTTCAAACACCCTTTTCTGTGTGTGTGTTTCTTTAAGGTCACCTACGAGTATAATGCCTGGCAGCCACACATGAGCACAGCCCAGAGAGAGGGTGCTGTGTATCACACTGTAAAACGGCCTATTTGAGATAGGGCTATGTTTATAGGTTACTTTTATCAAGTGGAAGCACCTTGGAACAAACCATCTATTCTAAGTTTATATTTGTAGACAACGGTGCCAAGTACATTATTCTACAAAGCCATGAACTTGTCTTTGTGAATTACTACATTAAGTGGAGAGCTGAGGCCCTTACTCAAGGGACTATGAAAAATGCACCTCCACACAATCCACAACACTCTGCTCCTGAGGGAGGAAACGTTGCTAGACCAAAAAGAACCAAACTAGTTCATGAATCCATGAAATTAATTCTGTCATGGCCCAAAGCTTCATTGCCCATGCCTCGTCCCACCAGCGGAGGACCAACATTTATGCCATCTGCTTCCACGCGTTCTGCTAAGTGGGCATCAGACAGGGAGAAGCACTTGAGCTACAGCCCATACAGAACTTGTGGGAAATAGGATGGTAGATCAGTCCGTTTATTGTGAGAACATTTCAGTTTGAAGCCCCATAATTCTTCCCATTGATTCACATTCCTCTTCTCATATTGAATATGACCTGAGCTTGTCCAACAGTATAAAGATGATAATTATCATAGCTAAACTCTATTGAGTGCTTAGTATGTGCTAGGCATTGTTCTGAGTGTTTTACATCTATTACCTCATTTAATCCTCACAACAACTCAAAGAACTTTGTGCTATTTTTATCCCCATTTTATAAACAATGTTGCTGGAGTTAAGCTGGGTTATGTTAACCTGCCTCCAGTCGCTCAGGGAGTATAGAGTGGAGATTCCCACCCAAGTAACCTGGCCCCGGAGTCTACAGCCCAAATGGTATGTTCTGCGCTTTTAACAGGATCCAGCGCTTGAGTTAATACATAGTCTCTTCAGAAAGCCCCTGGAAAGTGTGAGGGGCCAAACTGAAGGCAAGATACACATTTTCAGATGAATCCTGTTAAATAATACCCTTAACGTCATTCGGACTTCCCAGAAACACTTGCCAATTTCAGTGTTGAAAGTGCACCAGGCCTTAGGTTTGTATTCACCGGTCTTGTCAACATGGCTTTGCTATGTCTCTTTCCAGAATGAAGTGTCCATGTTGAAAAATGAGGTGGCGCAGCTGAAACAGTTGTTGTTAACGCATAAAGACTGCCCAATAACAGCCATGCAGAAAGAATCGCAAGGATATCTAAGTAAGTCATTGACTTTTTTTGCTTTTTTTAGTGTTCACTATTTTGGCCTCTAACTTTGTATTGGGTTTTGCTGAAAGAGCAAACATAAAGTGGAGATTGTACACCCAGGCAGACAGCATTCTGGAGCTCTGGGTGGCTGTCAGGGTCTTCTGGAGGGGGAATCCTTTCCTCACCCACCCTTCACCACGCCTGCCACCTCCTGATCATTTCTGGCCAGATTTTCTCTGGCTTTTCACATTGTAAAGTCCTACCAAATTCCAATTCTGCAACCCATATAAAAATGGCCTGCTGGAGCCCAGTTAGCAATGGGCCAGCCGGCGGTCTTCCGGAGAAATCCACGGGCCGGGAAACCGGCATTGGGTGTGATTTACCCAATGCCTCAGGCTGTGCTGCAGGGTATTCCCTGGGCTGAAACACGAGACACCTTGTCTCGGTTTCTAAATATACAAAGTGGACCCCACTTTTTAGACCCCAGTTTCTGCACCTGGAATGTCAATAGGTTGGTTAAATGTTAGTTGAGTAGAGGTTGGTGGGAGGAGCGGGGACTCATGACTCAATTTATTTTCAAATAATTTTTTAGATTGAGCAACACAGATTCTCCCACCACATGTGAGTATTTTTCCACATTTGATATATGGATGGCTATTTGAAAATACAAGATGGGGAAGTTCCCAGACCAAGACTCCCAACACATTGAATCACTGTGGGGATGTAGAAAGCATGGCTTTGCTTGTAGCTATAAACTGGGAAGGCATAGCGTTGTGACTCCAGTGTAAAGTTTTGAAATTAATTCCCAGGAGAAAATGTGTGAAAACTCTTCTATTTCTAGCAAATGCCTACTAGTAGTTTTCTGAGTAGTCCACAAGGCCACCCAAGAAAGAGCTATATTGGTGTGTGTGTGCGTGTGTTTTTCCCTAGGTCCGGAGAGCAGCCCTCCCGCGAGCCCCGTCCCAGCCTGCTCCCAGCAGCAGGTCATCCAGCATAATACCATCACCACGTCCTCGGCGGTCAGCGAGGTGGTAGGAAGCTCCACCCTCAGCCAGCTCACCACTCACAGAACAGACCTGAACCCGATTCTCTAAAAATCAGGGGTCACACCTTGCCTCCAAGAAGAGCTGCCGCGTACCATGCGTCCTTTCTTTTAAGGGCATTTTTAGAATTAACTCAGACCTGGAAGACTCCTCAGTTCTTCAAAGACTGGCTTTCATTTTTATAGTTATTATGGAAATGTTGTCTTTTATACTTAGTTATATAAGAAAAAAAGGGAGTTATGCAATTAATATCTATCAGCTTGGGAAATGCTTTGGTGCTTTTCTCCAGTTCTCTGGTACCGGTTACTTGTTTGTAAACTGAACTGTTTTCTGTATATAGTCATGGTTTCATTCTTGTCAGTCCTACCCTTTGCCTGGAACATTGAATCTTGTTAAACTGCAGCTTTTAGCCAAAATGAGGCATACTTAATTGTCAGCAGAAGCAAGGGGACTGGGTGAGAAGCCTGATGACATCACAACACGTGTTGTGCTGTGATGTCACCAGAATCCCAGACGAACACAGAGCCTTTCCGCAACTTTGTTTCTCTTACTATGAAAAATCTGAAGATCCACTGATGTCCAAAAAGAGCCGCCAGGCATCCCCCTCCTGCTCCTCTTGGTCCGCTTCCTCAAATGCCTGAGTCCTCGCTCCATTTCTACTCTTTCCTGGGCTCCCTGTTGATGCTTCATTTTTACCTTCTTCTTTTCTCTTTTCCCCCCTTAGCATTGCATGTAAAGAAGAAAATAATATTTAAAGAAAAATAAAAGCAAACCTCAGAAACGTGGGCCTGGCCATTGCTTTCCTTGCCCTTGACCCACAGCTGGAGTTCATTCAACCTTGCTTTTCACAAAATAGTAACCAGAAGACGTTTAATGTGCCTGATTTAATGTTTTTAATAATCAGAGCAAAGAAAAGGTGGCTTAGCCATCGGTGAAGCACCGTTGAAGGCCAGCTGTGGAGACACCAGGGAAGGGTGCTGTGTGAGCCTCCATTGTGAATGTCCGAATTAGGACGCAAGGCTAAAACATCACACCCTCAAAGTACAGTTGGTTTTATGTGGCCTGTCTCTAGTGTCGAAAATTCATGTACTACATAATAATTCAGAAGGGCTCTATTCACTACACAGATTACATTGTTCAATCATCAGCTGCTAATAGCCTACGGTTTATTGTTTTGTTTTGTTTTTTTCCTTAAGCCTATGGAATCAGCTTTGCTGTTCTGGTGGGGGAAAGTAGATGAACTGCTAGAGGAACAAAGAGAAAGAAAACCTAATGTTCCACTGGGGTGCTTTCAGCCCTCCCATGGCAGGCAAAGAAAGGACCCCCCCCGCCCGGATATGGCTACTCCAGTCTCCTGAACAATTCTAATTTACATTTTCAACAACTTTCATGGACTTGCCCATTATTAAAAGCAGATAGTTCCAAACCACAGTTGTGCCTCCTTGAAACAAGCCATTCTACTGTGCTAATGTTTTAATATCACATCTCACAAATAACCAGGCTAATGTTTCTCTTTAGCAGTCTAGACAGGTGCTGGTGTTTCATCTCCATTTGAATGCTTGACCGCCTAACAAGAGTGTGTGTGGGGTGTGTGTGTGTGTGTGTGTGTGTGTGTGTGTTCATAGGATTTAAAGGAATAGTATTTTACAAAAGGTGTAGCTTTTATAAGAGTTCAGAAAAGGGAAGGATGGTTTTCTTTTCTCTCAATATAGTGTAAGAATCTATTTTGGAGAAAAAAGAAAATATGAGAGTCATGAAGCATGATTTTTATAACTAGTTTCAGTTTTATCTACTAACTTACTTTTTAAATCAATATTTATCAACAATCTTTTCATGTATGCAGTGCTTTCAAAAGAAAGTTTTGAGTATCCAGTGAAACTCATGACTTGGATATATGGTGTAAAAATTAAAAAAAAAAAGAGAGAGAGAGGGAGAAAAGAGAAAAAAAGAAAAATGCAAACAAAAAGGATTTTCTATTATATTTTAGACAAACATATCATTTTTAAGTATTTTAAATACTGAATTCAAAGTTGCTTTGTTTTGTTTTGTCCTTTGTTTTGAATCCCAGCAGTAGCAGCTGAATGGTTTAACGTAACCAGTTTCCTAAGAAATGTTTAAGATCTAGCTAAAAAAGAGGTTAACATTCTTATCTCTATATTGAAATGAAAAATAATTTTTCATAGCTCCTGCCTAGGACTATCTATGTGTCCCCTTATAAAAGAAAAAGAGCTCATTGAAATGTTTATTTGAGCTTTTTAATTTTTTTAATTTTAATTTTATTTTTTGCTTTAAGTAAACAAAAACTTTTCTTTCTTTACTGCATGCATAGCACTTAATGAGATGGATTTTTTAAAAATCCACTGGTAATACCAGAATGTCCATGGAGTGGGTTGTCGCTAAAATTACGGTTTACTTTACTGCTGTTCCACCTCTTGATTGAAATATTTAGTTGTTAAACCCAAAGCCTCTGCAGTTAAGAACTTGCCTGAGTTTTCTTAATTCAGCAACTTGACAGTTTGACTGATGTGCATTATATATAGCTCAATTATGTCTGTTCTTTATGCTAAGTAGGCAAACCAACCACACACGTTAGCAGTTAGCAAATGGGCCTCAACGTATAATTAGAATAAACTGTCTTCTTGTTATACTCAGGGCCTTTAGGTATGTTCATTAGCAGTGGAAATACAGCCAATGGAAGATGCTAGCTAGTTCTCAGAGCTGGAAATCCCAAACAGAAAGGCTCATTGGTCAGTTCCAACACGCCGCTTATCAATATTGTTATTTGCCTTGAAGGTTCCGCTTTTTCCAAACCCCGGAATAATCAGTCCCCGCTCTTGCCCTATACTTTCCGCTGACCTGGGAAAACATCTCTCTACCCCATTTGTTTATCCCACTGCATTACTGGGTCACCATGCACAGATTCATAACTCCACGGTGACAACCTTCAGAGCTGCCCTCCTCGGCCCCGTGGGCCTTTTTCATCCGCAGCGTCTGCCTCTGAAGTCACCGCCACCTACCTGGAAACTTCTCCCTGACAGCGTTTTTACCAGTTGAATCCTCCCCTAAACTGACGCATCCACACCTTAACCGTTTTTCCTTACGACATTTCCCAGTGTCAGCAGGAACAGGTATGGTGAAAATCCTAGCCGTGGAAGCATGCACTCATTCCAAAGCCAGGTGTTAGGTGGGAAGTCTGCCCTCTCCCCGCCCCCCGCCCCCGCTCCCTCACCCTCTCCCACCTCCAGGTCCGCGGACGCACGTCAGCGCACGTCATTGCAGCCACTGCACGTCACCGTCTGTCGCAGCCTGCGGGTGCCGGTCCGGGCTGCCCCTGCGTGCCTGGTTAGGACGAGGGTGACTTACTAGGAGCAAACGCTCTTTGGAGCCTATCCAGTCAAGGGAGTCGCACGCAGAGCAAGTTCTGAATAGAGAGGCGTCAGGATGAATGTTCAGATGGTCGTTGCCTGTTAGTGAAGTAAATTTTAGCACGTTGCTTGAGTTTGTCATTGAAATTTCAAACCAGCTTCGTTAACAGACCAGCCTTTGGCTGGGGAGTCGGGGTGGGTTAAGCTCTCAGTAACTGCTATAAAACTAGCCATCCAGTTAGGATAGAATGTGCTTCTTTCTGGTTAATAAAAATCATCTAAGAAAATATATATGTATGTATGTGTGTATACAGTGGAATTCAAGGACCAAAGCAAAATTTGAACAGGAATCTATTAATTTAGAATTTTATAAGATATTTATTAATAAATGTTATTTTTAAACATTCCATTTGAACAGTATTCTTCTGTAGGATCTACTTGTTTTTAAAGTATTAGCTCATAATAAACTATTCTAGTCGTGTGTATCTTCATTTTTCAGGGTTTCAAATGGCTATTCTCCATCACTTGATGGAAATGTTTGCTTAGATCTCTGTGCATAGAAATTTCAAGGACTTCTGTTGCTCTGTGAGTTATTTTTTAATCTGCATTCTGAACAGCTTTTTAAAAAATGTTTATTTCTTTTTCCATGTTTAAAGTAAACTCTTTCCTTTAGGGAGCAGAGTTCAGCTGAAGGGAATCAGTAACTATAACTGGAACACTTTCTTGTAAAAGTATGAAAACAACTTCATCTCTGCCTCTCTCCGCCCCACCCTGATCTCCTAGAATGCTTTGCACTATCCAGCTCTTTAGTGCTCTTTTTGTCCCTTCTCAAACAATATGCAGTAGCGTTAAGCCATTCAAGCTCCATTATGCAGTCTATCTGAGAAGGAAAAGGAAACAACCCATTTAAATTTGAATACAACGTGCCTATGCGAACAGTAGCAATTTAGAACCTCTCTTCTGCTTGAAATAATTTATATTTTAAAATTGCACTTTAGCTTTTTTGGTCCCTTTCCCTTGTTCTTTCTAACCTCCTCCCTGTCCTCAGACTTGCCTTCCCTCTTCCCTCTCCGCTGGACATGCCCCTCTTCCTTCGAGGCTCTGAGCTGCATCGTTTAAAACACTTTACAGACTATTTGCACCCGGTACATTTGTGTGCAGTCCTTAGGAGCCTAGCAAGGACGCGTTTCTCACATCAGCCTAGATGAAGCCTGCTCCGAGAATGCCCAGGAGAAGAGCCAGTTTATACTCTATCCCTTTATTCATAGCATGTTTTTTACAAAATATTATTATGCAACAGATTATCAGGCAGCAGCTAAGCTACACTAAAGAATTTTCTATCTCATTCTCTGAACCAAAGTGTCCTGAATGAGCCAGGAGACTTATTCTTTTGTGCATCGTGGTGCACGGTGGACTGTTGTCCTAGCCATGGTCTCTCTGAGGCCACTGAAATAACAGTGGCCCTATCTAGTTCATTCCTAGGTCTCAAAAATACAATGTTGCCTTGTACCGTAATTAGGGACAGCACCTCTATTTCACAATTATAATCTAAGAAAGGACAAGAAGACACTGAAGCAATAAACTTACAAGTAGACTCCAATACCAAAACAAATGAAAAAAAAAAAACTTAGCTCATCATGTTGTGAAAATAAAAAAGTGTATGTCCATTCAAAATATTTTACTATTTCTTGTGGAGTTTTTCAGTGATGTAATGCTTATAGCCAAATTGCTTAAAGAGTGTTTATATATTTTTTCCTTATAAATGGTCTATTTTTAAATAAAAACTATTTAACCACAAGTTGAAGAGGAGGGTAAGGCCAAATTGCCAGCATTTGTTAAAAGATTAATATTCCTAAGTGGCACTCTGATACCTTTCCAAGCCTATCATAAGAGGGGAATCGATAGTTATCAACTATTATATTTAGACCAATTGACAGTATCTAACTCATTAGAAGTCAGGATTTAGAAAGCTCTTCTTAGGCCATTTAAGATTTTCTTACATTGAGTTTCATAGCATAGAACTTTATAGAATTTTTTTTTTTAAAGAAACACGTTAGCCTCAGGACAGAGAATGTGGAACCTGAATAAAGTAGCTTTAAATACATCATTAAAATCTTACGCACACTAAGCTCACTAGACTAGTTCGCTCCTTTGAATGCCCGTGCGGTAGACACTGCAAGAGGTCATGAAAGGTATCACAGTGCCGAAGCGGAGAGGGGTCCAGAGAAAGGACTCTTTCCAACCAGCCAGCCAGTAAAAAAAAGAGACCTACCTACCCTCTTTTACCCTCTTCTGTATTCTGCTAAATCACACCTGCCTCAGAGACAGAGGAGTTCTCTGCCTTTGGGGTTTGTCTTGAAGAAAAGATAAGCTTTGAACTGTTCTCCCTGGGGAGGACATGGGGTTTGGGATCTTCTGGAAAGGCCCAGAAAAGTGGCTCAGTTCAAACACAATATTCCAGGACAATTGGAATATAAATATTGTCCAAAAATAGAACTAAAAGAAAAAAATTTAGCATTGTACAAAGTAAGTGTTAACGAAGTCCCAAAAAAAGGTGCTGTCACTTTAAGTTCTGGACTGGGGCGTTGTTTGTAATTGTAAACAGCAAAGCATTTGTGTGTGTTTGTCTATTTGTAAAGCA